TTGCCACAGCTCATGATTACTGACTTTTGTCCCATCACCGTGCACTTCAGAGAAGAGTTTGACTTAGTTTTTTTCTGCAAGCCCTTTTTAGATAGTTGAAGATAGCTATTGGATTGGGGGGATGTCTTCTACAAGCTGAACAGAGCCAGCCCCTTAGTTTTTCTTCTTTCTTCCTGTGCTCTGACCCCTAACCATTGTGGGATGGTAACAGTAGATCATGCAATGATGTTCATCTAAATGGGGAGATGTTGTAAGACCTGCAGAGATGAGATTGGCATGTCGCTGTTGGTGCTTGGGAGGAGTGAGTGAGGGAGAGAAAAAGACATTCAATTATCCCTTGAAACCTTGGTTCATCTCTTGCATTTAGTCAAACAAAGTTCAGGACACGCACTGCAGTAGGACTATCTGAATTCTGTGGCATTTTCAGACAAACAAGACAGCGTAGGTAAGAAGGAGTTAAACAGACACATAAAATGAAGGCACATGTCAGATATTAGCTGATTTGGATAAAAATGTGGTGATGAGGGCACAGCCCGGGGAAAAGGAAATCTGGGAATGCGGTGACTGTTTCAGAAAAAGACCCCAGTAAAAGTGGAGAGATTTGCAGCATTAGATTGAAGACTGAGAAGTAAAATGGAAGTAGAGATGAATATGCACACACAGAACATACAGCTGAAGAAACTCCAGGGTCCATACTGGGACCACTAATATTTAATATCTTCACTAATGACATAAATAGCAGGATTGAGTTCACCCTTAGCGAGTTTGCAGATGACACAAAGCTGAGTGGTGCAGTTGATATACTTGAGGGAAAGGATGCCATCCAGGGGGACCTTGACAGGCTTGAGAAGTGGACCACTGTGAACATCATGAAGTTCAACGAGGCCAAGTGCAAGGTCCTTCACTTGAATCAGGGCAGCCCCCAGTGTCAGTACAGTCTGGATCATAAATTGATTGAGAGCAGCCCTGCAGAGAAGGACTTGGGGATACTGGTAGATGGAAAATTGGATATGAGCCAGCAGTGTGTCCTTACAGCCCAGAAAGCCAACCGGATCCTGGGCTGCATCAAAAGCAGCACGACCAGCATGTTGAGGGAGGGCATTCTCCCCCTCTGCTCTGCTCTGATGAGAACCCCCCTGCAGAACTGCCTTCAGCTCTGGGGTCCTCAGCACAAGAAGGACACAGACCTGTTGGAGTGAGTCCAGAGGAGGCCACAAAGATGATCCGAGGGCTGGAGCACCTCTCCTATGGAGAGAGGCTGAGAGAGCTCAGCCTGGAGAAGAGAAGGCTCCGGGGAAACCTTAGAGCAGCCTTTCAATATATAAAAGGGGCTTATAAGAAAGGTGGAGAAAGATTCTTACCATGGCCTGTAGTGATAGGACAGGGGGCAATGGTTTTAAACTGAAAGAGGGTAGACTTAGATTGTATATAAGGAAGAATTTTTTTATGATAAGGGTGATGAGACCCTGGCACAGGTTGCCCAGGGAAGCTGTGGATGCCCCAGCCCTGGAAGTGTTCAAGGCCAGGTTGGATGGGGCTTTGAGCAACCTGGTCTGGTGGAAGGTGTCCCTGCCCATGGCAGGGGGGTTGGAACGAGATGGGCTTTGAAGATCCCTTCCAGCTGAAACCATTCTGTGGTTCTATGGTTGTATACTGAGGTACAGACATATTTTATTGGAACACACAGTTTTCGTAAAATCCAAATGCTTTGTAAAATCAGACAGATTTGAGCAGATCGCTGACTTGAAAGAGAACTGGGGAAAAAGCTGACAACACTGAATTTTTTTCTTATTTCTTCACCTACAGAATTAAGTATTTTCTTTTTCTGACATGTTTTTTAAAATAAAATTTTACCACAGTGTAGAGTCCAAGACAAAATAAAGACAAACAGCTTTAGCCACCCTAAATAAAGCAAGTTTATTTTCTGAAATATATATATTCCTTCCTGGAACATTTGAATGTTGTTTTTTTATTATTTTGCTTCTCTGAGAATGAAACTGATTTCTGGAAATTCATAGTCCTTCATGAAATGGAACTTTTTATTTCTTTGCGTCTTTTTCTTTAGAAAGGTTGGAAAGCCACCTCCAAACACCTACATACCCATGCTTTATTTAAAAATCATCCAAGACAGGCAGAAAGAATGGGCAATGGAATGGAAAATACCAGACAGATGTGAATACAGACAGGAAAACTGAGTATGTTATAATGGCTGTAAGTATAGACAAGGCATATCGTCTATACAGTTTACAGTGAGGGAAGAAGAAGCTGGATGGAGAGAAAGGACGGAGTTCTCCCCAAGAGATTTGTTCCTTGGACTCTCTGGACTGGCACTCTGGTGTTCCTTTCTACATGCCAGTTTTGGTTTATGTTCAGGCCATTGAGTCAGACATCTTAAGGAGCTGTTTACATCCACAGGCAAGCTAAGTAGAATTAATTCTCATGTTCCCATGGGGACAGAGATTGATATTATGACTGCTATTACATCTAGCTGTTTCATGGGCTATATAAAAAGAATAAGGGATTTGTGTGACCTTCCATCTGCTGTCCTGCCATCTGTGAATGCCATCACAGACGTCAAGCACAGTTTGACTTTTAGAGGTTAAATGGAATTCACTGGACATATGAAACACTTCACTAGAGATAATATAATTCTATTTGACATTCCCAATGGGAATTAGAGAGGATTATACAAAGTATTATTGGCAGTTCAATGTCAGATTTGGAAGACGTACATTATGAACTGATTAGGTGACTACCAGCAACTTTAGCCCTCGTGATTTTAAAAGGGCACAAAAACCAGAGGGATTCATGGAATGAAGTATTTCTCTAAAAGATATCAAAGGTCATTGCAAACATGGGCTTTTTTGCTAGAACACAGATTTTAACAAATTTAAGGGCAAATCTAAAACTAGAAGGTACTTTGTAGTTCCTTTCCTAGTAAAAGCACAGGTCATAGGAAAAGACATGCAAATCTGGATGTTTTTGTAAATACAATAATTTCAGTCATTTCTTATGTGTAAAATGTCTGTATTCTTTTTTGATAGCATGCATTGCCAAAGATGGTAAATTTTTACAGAGAAAAGGAATTGCTTCTTGACACAGACCAGTATTGGCATAGTTTAAATTTTAACATTATTCACAAAGTTTGACTGTATGTTGTTTTAAAATACATGAGGGAATTGGCACCATGCTAGTTCATTCCCTTCAGCAGATTTTTTTGGAGGAGAAGGCAATATGCTGAAGTAGCAGGAATAAACTAAATAATATGATTAATAAACTACGCAATTTTGCAGTTAGGACCTCTTTTTTCCACATTTCAACGATTTTTAAAACAATCTTTTCTATATGAGCCAGTTTAATGCAAACACAGACTGCAGTTTAAATATTAAGATACCATTGATCGTGATCCTGCCCACACAGGTTTGATTTACTCTTTGTCAATGGTTACGTGCTCTGTAGAGTCTTTGCTGCCTTCTGTAGATTTTGGTTTTATTCATATAGCTGAGATCTGTAACATTCTTCCTCTTGCTTTTCTTTTTTTCCTTTTTTTCCTAGATTGAATGCTCAAGTATATCTGACTACTCAGAAAAAATTATCAAGGCCAACCACTTGGACAACAGTAAGGCATATATAAAAATATTTTCTTCAGGAGAAAGAGAAGATAACTGTTTTGATTTTTCTGATTAATTTATATTGTGTGCTTTATATGTAAATGGTAGTTTTGCATAATTTATTTACGTAAATACAAAACTAAACAACTCATTCTAGGCACTACAACAGTTCCTCACAGGAGGAGTTACTTCTCCATTTACTTCTAGACTCACAGACGACAGAAGCAAAGAGGCCTCCTCAGTGGTCAGTTTGATGTAGCAAAGCAGACAGAAGGCCCTGTATTAGAGCCAAACTTCTCTAATTCTGCCATTTCAATTCCACCTTACCTCTTAAATAGAATTCACACACACACACACTTACGTTCAAATTGAAATAAGGTTCAAATCAAAAAGTATTCCATAGCAATACAGATTTTTCACTAAGAGTGTCTTCCGACTTCCGAGTTTGAAAAAAAAATTTTTTTTAAAAACCATGTTGAAACACACACACTCACACAAATGAAAATGTTCAATTCTCAGAATAACAGTATTATAGGAAACTTTTTTTTTTCCTTGAAAAGAAAACTCTTGAAATTTCCAGGGATGTGGAAAGACTTCAATTAAAAAAAAAATACTAAAAAACCCCCTAACCTACTGAAAACTCTTAACAAAAGATAATCTCCAACAAGCTCTATTTCGTGTCTTCAGTCCTCCTCCAAATCACCGCACACAAGATAATCTTTGTAACAACCAAAAAAATCAGGCTTTTTTTAGCTGAAGCTGTGCGACAGCTCTTGTGTCAAAGTGCTCTTTGTGGCGAGCTTGTCTTTGCTGCAGAGCCGTGCAGGTCACGGCAGGGTAGACTGTATCATTTGCCCCCACTTTTACCTATGTCTCTGCTGGTGCCGTGCTGGTACATGCACAGGAATAGAGTTCTGTTCTGGTTTGGGGCTGCTCTAATTTTTATTGCTGCCACTGGCAGCTCCTGACTAACACGGAGCTGTTTGGGAGGAGAATTTCTTGTAGAGTGTGCGTACTCAAGCGGCATGGTGTGAAAGGAACAGCAGTGATGTGGGATTAAGACCAAGCCAGTGTAGGCAACTTTTGGTTCAGAAGAAGAAGGAAGCAAAGGACCAGAAAATACTCTCCTCCACAGTAGGGATAAGGCACTAAAACAATGAGGTGTTGACCTCAGCTTGGTTATCCTGCACCTTTGGTGTAGAGCCCGTATATTCCCAGAATGGCCTTTCATCAAACAGCTACACAAACAGCATACCACAGATCAGTTCACGTTTGGATTTCCAGCAACAGGAATTGTGGGTGAAGGGACCACTGTCAGAATAAATAAGAAGGATCCAGTGTGCTCCAGAGGTTGCAGAAGGTATTTAGCTCTGCTTCTTCCTCCACAGTTTCTCCAAGGAGCAAGTCCTTGGAAAAAACTGCGGAGGAAGAAGCAGAGAACCCTTCCCTTTGGCAGGAGACCTGCCTGATCAGCAGTCTGTGCGACTGCAGATTGGTCTCCAATATAAACAAATTGCACAACTGAACTAACATTTACACTTTACACGCTTTACGCTGACCCACATTCACTTTTATTCTAATGCAACCAAGTACTGAGCCAAAGGATCTTGTTGCTCATGGAAATTTTTCTTTTTTTCCCCCTTAATAGTTTAGAGAAATGCAAAATCAGCAAAAGGGGCTGAACCAAGAGAAAACCCACTGTTTCCAGAACAGATACAATACAGCTGGGGACAGCACAATCTGTTCCCACACGATGCCTTATGAAGATGTTTCATCAAAGTGAAGGGGAGGTGGGAGGAACTTGTACTGCTGCTGCTGCTTACGCTGTGACTGTTCTAGGTATAAACAGAGGGCTTCAAAGTCTGCAGTGTGTCACCCTGGCAGCTGTCAACAGTGCTAAAATTCACTCCAAAAGAATTGTGGCAGTGAAAGTTCTCGGGAGAAAAGAGAACTAAAGAGACCTCGTGGCTGGAGCTTATAGACACGAAGAGTCTTCACTATAACACCAGATGAACTATTGAGCTATTAACTGTGAAAGGAAGGAGTTTAAAGAATGGGAAGGAGAAGAAAAAAAAACGATCAGGTTCCTTTTACCACCTGATACTTTCTATTACCAGCCTGAACCAGGGTGTTCACAACTTCTTAGCAGGGCAGTTTGGATTAAAACCTTGCTATGCCAATAAAGTGGTCACATCTGGTTAGAGTAATACTAGTACTGCATGTCTTTTGGAAAGACGAAACCTGATTTTCCCTGGGCTGAGTTCTAAAAATTACTCAACCCACACTTTTACACTTGAACAGCTAACCTAGTTATAGCCAAATGAAAGTACCTTCATCTTCCTCAAACTGAATGTCGACCACTTTCATCAGTAAAAATTGCCATTTATTAAGAGTAATACAGTAATCTGATCAATTAGTAATGGAAAGTAAAATATTCCCTGCTCACTTTATTCCTGAATTTCAAGTGCATCAGTTACCTTGTCAAGGAAGGGTGCAGAACTGTGAGACTTTACCCACTGCAACAAACAATATAAATAGCAGACAAACACAAGCTGAAAAGTATTTGTCTAAAGAATTTGGAATACATTTGTAAATATATATATAAAAAAAGCAAGAATAATTCGTGAATTGTGTAGTGATGTTAAAACAAAATTATTTGTTACAACTGAACTAAATACGGACCAGCATTTAATTTTCCTTTAAGCAAAATATCTGTTCTACTATTAACCAGTTCTGTCAATTGCTTGTTGATTTGCTTTTGCAGTGCATACCCAGTCTCCTGTAAGTAGTACACAGTTGTTGCCAGTAATTTAATGCGCTGTGTTGTAATAATGCCTCCGAGGATCTGGTATTCTACTACATTAAACTTCTAGCAATCTTTTTAATTTCCTTGAAACTAATTTGGTGGTAAAATACCTGACAGCAGTGTCTTGCAGCAGTCAGTTTAGATAACTGTGAAAAGTTATGCAAGTCTAAACCATATAGAAGGTTCAGAGTGAGAATGCCAGTATGTTATAAAAGATTCATTCATGAAGCAGAAAGGAATGAGAAACGATTTTTCATGAGAGAACCATGTTAGTACAAACTTGCTTGTTTGTGTACTGTCAGGTTAGATCTGACTTTCTCAGTTGAGTCAGCTCCCCAGAATTCATGGAAGAAATAAGCCTTAGTTTCCTCATTGTGAAGCCAGCATAATACGTTTGAAAAGCAGTTGAGAATTAGATCTTAGTTCCATAGATCTCTAATATCTCAGTGATGAGATCATTCATGTGTAACCCTACAGGGATGTTTGAGGGATTGTAGGTGGGTTCTTTGCATTACTTGGTCAATGATCTAGAAATCTTCCAAATTCCAAAGGGCATGTAAAATGAGATCATGCAGGTAACCAGGTAAGGCCTGTTTTTCTGTTGGTTTTGTATATATGGATTTTATTTGGTTTGGGTTTTGGTTGTGTTTTGCTTTGTTTTTTTCCTTTTATACTGATACTAAAACTTCTGTTTATTATACTTACTGCAAATAGTTTTAAAATAGTGTAAAATCCATTGAGTCGCATGGTGTCACTCCTTATCTACAGGCATTCAAGAAGAGAATCATATTGAAAAGGTCAGCCTGACATTCACCAGTAAGGAACTTAGTCAGGTGTTTTATTATGTGAAACATATTTCTTTGGATTCTTTTTTCAGTAATCACAATATTTAAAGGTAAAGTGGAAGAAGTTGAATTACCTGTGGATAAAGTAGACATCATCATCAGCGAGTGGATGGGTTACTGTCTGTTCTATGAGTCAATGTTAAACACGGTCATCTTCGCACGAGACAAGTGGCTGGTAGGTGCTCTGCATGTCATACTCCTTGCTGGAGCAATCGTCATTTATTTTCTGACTACAAGCCTTCCCTCTGCCTCCTGTCACCATAACAAGACACAGTTACATCTCCAAGTGCCATTTCTTAGGCTTTAATGAAAAGATTAACAAAGGGAATCTCAGTGAAAGAGCTTTGCTTTTGATTAACTGCTGGTGAAATTAGTATAGATGCTATCTAATGACATTGCTGCAGGCTGCAGGAGTTGCTGAGATTAAAGCTCATGTGACAATCTGAAGGAAAACAATAAAGGCATGCAAGGGGTGCTTGTCTGGTTTTTGTATGTGCAGTTCAAAATGTGATGTCTTTGTCAGGTGAATAGATTACGAGATCCATTTCCCCACAATTCATCAACAGAAACCTGGAGGGCTAATGTTTCCAGACCGAGCTGCTTTGTACGTGGTAGCAATTGAAGACAGACAGTACAAGGACTTCAAAATTCACTGTAAGTAAACACCCAGCAGTAACATTTGCCTATCGTTATTTCCCTGAAATATTTGATTTATAGTGACCTACTGTAATTGCTTCGCTGGCAGAGTTTTGCAAAAGCCAAGAAATCACGCTGACCAGGCCAGAATTCCAGTGTAAACACAAACACTGAGAAAACTCTAGTCTGGTGATAAATTCAGGAAACTTCCAGTAACGTGCACAAAGGAAGGATGCATGAATAAATTGATGTAGACCTTGCTTAGAATTATATTGATACCTCTACCTCTATTTTAAAATGTGGATTTTAGGAGATTTAGTTTTGTTGTTTTGATAAATACATCATCCTACATAACTGCCATTAAAATTGGTAACATACTTTTGCCATCCAGATGTTGGTGTGGGCTTTTAAAATAACAAGAATAGAAAAATTAAGAAGATTAAATGAATTGTAAATGTTAAGAAATAAGCCTAGAAAAGATGATACCTCACTAATAAGCTTGTTGAGAAGAAAAAAAAAAAAGCAGTGCTTTTTTAACTTTTTAAAACACTTTATGTAAGGATTTTTAAATGAAAAATAAGGATAAGAAATTTCCATTTTATTTTCATGTGAAAAAAATTTCTAAACTTTTTTGTTTTACTTCATAGATGCATAAAATTGACTTTTCCTTTACCTTTGAAAAGTGGGGGTTTTTTCCCTTGAAGTTTCATGGAATAACCGGTGCTGTTAGTGGCCTTTACAGGTCACCTGGTCCAGCCTCCTGCTTAAAGCAGACCAGATTTCACAATTAAAGCGGGTCACTCAGGGCCCTGCCCTGCAGTCAGGAGGTGGGGATTCCATAGCTTCTCTGGGCACTTGTTCAAATGCTGAAGCACCTCCGGAGGAAATGTGTTTCTGAATATCCAGTCAGAATTTTCCTTGCTGAAGCTTGCTTTCATTGTCCCTTGTCACCTGAAGGGAGTCTAACTTTTTCTTTGTTTCTGTAGCAGCAGATAGCAATTAGATCCCACCATTAGCCTTTGCTGTCCCAGGCTAAGCAAACTCAGTTTTCCTGGACATTCCTCATCTCTTAGCATGTGGTTCATTTTCATCACCACAAGGTCATACTCCTCGTTCACGTTCAACTTGTCATGCCCCAGGTCACCCAAGTTTGGATTTAGTTGGTCATAATAGTTGTGATGAAATGAGTAAGTTCTACATTATTTCACTCTTCTTTTTTTCTTTTTTGCCTTTTATTTATTTTTCAGAGCTGGTCAATTTCACGTAAAGGCATTCTCCATTGGAGGGGGGGGGATCACAAAATTCCTAAGCAGTTTTATTAATTAAGGATACATAGAAAAGCTTGGGTAGACTTAGTGGGTTCAGTCAGCCTTTAAATGAAAATGCCTAACTCCTCATTCCTTGCCTCTCGACTCCTCTCAGAAAAGAAAGAAAGTAAGTTTGGTGTTTCTGTTACCAAATTCAGTGCCAATACACAGAACTGCCAATGGGTCAAAACTGCCATTTTGGGTCAAAAGCAAGCCCAGTGCAGTGGGGCAGTGACAACAAGTCTGTGTAGGTGCCGGGGAGAATTGTAGCTACTCAAGCACAGCCTAGATTTTTCTCCTCGGTTATGTGATGACCTTGACAGCTAAATTCATTACAAAATTTACAGATTCAAAAGGATGTATGAGGCATCCATTCTGTAAAGGAATCAAAGCCATTTTGGCCTAAAAAAAATCCTTTATGCCTTCTTTCACCTTGCTTTTGAAGCCCTTCCTTTCTAGGCCTTGAGTCTTTTTCTTTTCTCACAGACGACAGACCTGTTTTCAAGTCATTTATTTTTTCACCGTTTAGAAAAAAAAAGTTTCAGATTCTTTCTCTTCTAAAGTGTTGTTTCCTTTAAGATGCTTTCTTTTCTAATTTCACCCTTTTTATACCTCTGTGTCGTCTTCAGTTATTTCCATCTCACTACCTATCTGTACCACCATCTTGTCTCTCTTTTCAGTTTATAAACCCTTGATGGTGTCTCCTTACATTTCAGTTTTTCGTCTTCCTTTTTTCCCTCTTAAGGTGTATAGAGTCTTGCCTTCATATGAGATGCAGGGCTGAGCATTTCAAAGGGCACTCAAGAACCATCATATTGATTAAGAATAATGCAATATGAGGTTTCTAAAAAAATCTGACTTCTGATTTCTCAGCCTTTATTAATGCCACAGAGTTCTACTATAGTCAATTACTCTGATTTCCTGCAAAGTGTAAAACATTTTATCTTCTAACTCTTGCAGCAGGTCTCTGTCTAATACAGACTGTGGCATGTATTTCAAAGGCATCCCATGTAGGCTGAAGTACATCCAGTGATGAAGACCCCAACAACTCTGTTAATAAATTGTTCCTTCAGGGTTTCCTAGTTAATCTTTTCTGAGCATAAAAATGTATGGCTTCTATAAATATAATCTGAAGTTCCCACATGCTCATGATGCCTGAAACGAAAGTTTTGATCGCCAGCTCCCCTGAAATATTGAGAAACTCAAAGCCTAATAAAGAGATAACATATCAAAGAACTGTTCGTGTCTGGGTTTGTTCCAGTTTAGAAATAGGCAGATTTTTTGCTCATACTACATTTTCAATCATAGCTCTCTGGGAACACCAGTAGCTCAAATGCTATGCTCTGAAAAAACAAACATGTTCACTATTGCTGTTTATCAGTTTACCTCGCTTGTGTGCAAACAATTTTTTTAAAAGTTCACAGTATTCAGTTTAGACTTTCAGATAGAGCACCGAAAAGACCTTGACTCATATGATTTGTAAGACTCAGATTTCACTTTTTTGGAGGTTTTTGGTTTCATTTTGTTAATCAATCTTAAAAGCAAAGCCAGTGTACTTCTCAGTCTTTCAATGTTTTCATTTTGTTCAAGGAAAAAAAAAAAAACAAAACCAAAACCTCAGCAAGATAAGAAGTATTTATCGGAACAATCAGAAGAACAGATCAAATATAGAAGATCAGCACGGCTTTTAAACCTTTTAGAACATGGACATTTTGCTTTTTTGTCATGATGTACAAGCAGATTAAAACTTGTGTGCCCCAAATGTTAAAACACGCCTGTAATTCTACTCCTGTCGGTAATTCACTTGCTGAAACTAAGACTACTTAAATAATTAAAAGAGCATGCAAACTACTGATTGAATAGCGATCTTTAAAAAAAAGGAACCATTAACCAAAATGGATAGGAAAGGATATAATAACCTTAGCAGCTATTCTGAAGTCTCAACCTGACATATTATATGATTTTGGGCAACACTCTCAAATGTCTAAAGCCATGAAAATCATCGACAAATCTCATATAACACAGTTTTGGGGACATCAAAAAACAAGGGCCACTTGTTCACAGATGTACGTTGAGGGGTTATTTTTGCCACAACGGCATTATCCGTAAAATAGCAGTGATGACATAGACAACTGGGGCAGGGAGCAAAGAGCTGAGGAGGACAGCTGCAAGTGAGGGGATGGTAGAAATTCTTTCAAATAAAAAATGCTTTGAGAAGCAAAATATATTTTTATTATTACTGCTAATCTTTGACACATCCATTTGCATTGACAGGGTGGGAGAATGTGTACGGCTTTGACATGACCTGTATTAGGGATGTTGCCATGAAGGAGCCTTTGGTGGACATAGTAGATCCAAAGCAAGTGGTGACCAATGCCTGTTTAATAAAGGTTTGGTAATTCCAAATATACCTAATTATGAATGTATACACCTAACTGTAGGATTCTTTGGAGACCTGCTGCTTATGTTTTACCACTGTCTTTGTATGCTTCTAACTAGCTGCAGGAGCCATCATCACAGAATGCTATCACACTAAGAAGGAAAATTGTGCAGTTTTAAATTAGTCACACATGCCCAATACTGTCACCTGAGCTAAGCATGAACATTGATACCTTGATCACCTATGGAATACCCAAAAGCAAGATGCTCCTTGTGAGTCTGTACTCATCTGGCTACTGCTAACTGTAACTGAAGACTTTTATGAATTATACAAGTGCAAATACCAGAGAAATAGAGACATGGTGTATTTAGATATGAATTTTAATTTCCCAGCCTCTTGTAAGTTGAGGTTGGAAATTACTGATGGAATGCTGCTGAGGAGAAGGGGTAAATAATTCTGTTTGCAGTAAAAAAGACTGAAGCATCAGTTCCTGAAGTGGTCAGCTCTGGTGAAATAACTCTAATGTACTCCAGAGCACAAGATCAGAATTGTAACCTAATTTATTTGTATAACTTCCTAATTCTTAACCTTATCCAGAATGTTACTGTGCTCTCCCAGCCCCAGTATCTGCAGTCAGAGGTTAGCTTGTACCCTGTTCTACGTGTAAGACAGAATGGTCACTACTCCCTGTTCACAAGCCCAGGTTGAGAACCCCCAGCCTGCAGGAACACATGAAAGCTGTAAAATTCTTTCCATGTGAAGGAATCCTCCTCATGTGGGACTGCTCTCAGGAATAAGGCTGTCCACATCAATAGCAGTGGTAGGATCAGTTCCGTAAGTCCAAGACTGTGCTCATTTATCCCAAAGACTCAGTTCTAATTCTTCCCTTTCACTTTTTGCCAGTAACAAACTCAGCGTTAAGTATTGCCATATGCAAAAAGGAAAGACATACCTTTAGTCTGCAGAACCTTTACTGAAAGTAGCAAAAAGGAACAGAAGTAGAAACTCTGTGTGAGTACATATGTGTGCACAGTCCATCTGCACTGAGGGGAACACAAGGTGGTGGTGTCTGAAAACAGCCTGAGCCAGAGCAATTTAAAATTGCAATACATACAAAATAAACAGCTATTCAGACTGCATAAAATATGTCTGGAGAGTGAGAGATCAGGTGGCAAAATGGATTGGCTTCTCTGGAATAAAAAGTTACACAAGCTGCATGCCCTTAAATGAAGTGCCAATCTAACGCTCTCTTTAGAAGGTCTTTGAAAGTCATTGGGTTAAAAAATTTTCAAACTTTTCCTATTCAGGTTTTATATTTAATTCTACATGGCCTGACATATTTTGTCCATACACTGAATGGTGCTTTACCGCGTAATGGCACCTTGGGAACAAAGCAGGTAATAACTACACAAGCAGAAACCACTCTCCGTTCCAGAATCTGTCCCTAATCTCACAAACTGATCAATAAAAAAAGAGAAAATTGTTAATGAAAGGCAGGAAGGAGGGAGGCTTTTGTTCAAGCTAGCAGCATGGAAGCAGGAAAAACTGGGGCTGCGTTTCTTTTTTTAACTTAATTTACTTGTGCACATGGTTTATTTATATAAAGTGCATTTATTTGACCCTGAAAATATTTGTGGATTCAGAGAATAATATTAGCCTAAGAAAACATTTGAGAATAAACAAAGCAATAATGTTTAATTATTCAAATGTTTTATTATAGCATTTGAAGATGGCACGGCTTATTCATACTAGATTCATGAAGGGATTTTTTTTAGGGCTGTATTCAACCCAAAGCCAGCTAACTTAGGCTGCCTACCAGATGAGTCTGGGTTCCCTGTACATTAGTCGGTGGATGGACTAGTCGCTAGGTGCATTCCTAACAGACCAGTCAGAGCCCTGTGCTTCTGCAGTGATTTCAATTCCCAATTTAGATGCTCTGAATTGTTCTACAAAGTCAGCAAAATAAGACATCAACCCCTGCATGCTATGTAACCGTGACACTTACCTAGAATGCTGGAGACTCCAGTCACATTTCCTCAGTTGTACTCTTCAGGAATTGGATGTAAACCCAGGTCTGGAACGCTTCGAGGAGCTCTAGCCACGAAGTCCCAGGTGCTGGAGGTGATGCATGCAGGCAATACAGCATCTTCTCTGTTGTGAAAGCAATTCCCCTTTGAATGATCTCTTAAGTATATCCCAGGGACATAGGAATTTTCCTGGCAAGTAGAAGTCCTCTGTTTAAATTCCAAACTAAATCAGCCAGGGAGGGTAGTGGGACCAAAGCATCTTCAAACCACCAGAGTCAATAACTGATCTCAGGAAAAGTGCACAAGTGTCCTGAGGGCCTGCAACTTTCAGTGGCATTGCCTGAAAAAAGAGAAAAGTTTGAAACAAACTCAGTAAAACAGTTGTTTTTTCTTTGCTGATCACCTTGCACATTAGAGAAATAAAAATGGGTTTGAATTGACCCAAAACTTTTTCTCCATGTTAATTTTGGTTTGGTGTCAGCACCAGAGGCTACGAAAACACTAAACCAATTGTTCACACAGCTGTAGAAGAACCTGCAATGAGAGAGTGGCAAAAACTCACAAAACCAAACAACAATGAAAAACATGCCACATCCAGTTTCTAATAAAAAATATTGTTGGATTTTCCTGAATATCCTCCCCTATCTGGCCACAGAGAAAGAACAAAAAAAAAAGATAAATAAGTCTACCTTTATGCTCCCATTTGTCTCAGACGTTCCAGGAACAGTTTAAAGCTCCTGCAGGTCACACACCACTTTAAGATTACACAGTTTAATGCTACTTGAGGCACAAACTGCCTTCCCTGCACAAAACAAATTATACAAAGTTCTTGTTTATCAGAGAACATAGCATAATAGCAGAAAACCATTGACCTGTATGCTCAAATATCCAGTTCTTTGAGAAATTTCCACTGGTTTGGAAATATCATGATTCACCTATATGAAGCCTTATTTCAAAGGACCTGCAGTATTTTCTGCAAAGTATAAAAATATAAAAATACAAAAATACTGTTGCTCAGAGAAGTCCGGGCCCACAGGTGATGCACTTGTCCGTGAGCTCCGATGAGTCCCATGTTCTTCTCCCATAGTAATATTGCCCCATGAGGTTTAGGACAAGGCATTCCTCATCAGACTTTTCTCTTGCTCCACTGCAATGTCATTGAACTCCCAAACCACATTTCTTCCTCCCAGCTTCTCCTGAGGTAAAGCAGGAGGCACCTATGCCACTCGTTTTCCATCTTTCTTCAAACACTGCTCTTTTTTTCCTCATTTTTCTTCTCTGTTCTGTCCTCCAAATTAAAATCTCCTTTCCTAAGTGCCTTTCCCTGTTCCTTTTTCCTTTCCAACAGTTCTCCCCACAGTCTTTCCTTTCAACATCCTCAGATTTACTCCCCCCCTCCAAAAAAAAACCAAACCCACCCAAACCCCAAACACCACCCTAGTAATTTTCAGCCATTTGCTTTTGTGCAAACAGGAAAAGATGGCAGAAGAGGGGCCCTGGCAGAGGCTGAAGCCTCTCTTATCTAGAAGCCATAGCTACATTTGCTTCCCTGTTACTTTGTCTCACAGAAAACGCACATGCTGCAATGTCCAGTCAAAACAATCTCAGATACTCCACTCTTCCTTTCACTGCTCCCCTGAAACACCCAGAATTTGATGTTGTTTCTTCTGTCCTCACATTAACAATATTAGTTCTCTGCACTCTTTAAAAAAAAAAAAAAGAAAAAAGAAAAATAATTTCCTTTTGGGAAAGTGAATGTGTTTTGGGGGCTGACTGTTGCATTCAGTGCTCCCCTCACATCTGTATTCATGTGTGCAACTGCCAATATGGGTCATTTTCTCGATGCTTGTCAGAAAAGAGGGTTTGTCCCTTTCTCCTTTCCCTAGCAATTTTACTTCTCAGCCTTCAGATCAATCCTGTTCCTCAAGCTGGCAATACTGCTTGTACCGACGCTGTCCCCGAGCTTCTACATCACTTCAGCACTGATGAGTGCTACCTCCACCATCGCATCCTATGCTGGGGTGACTGCTTCCCTCTTTGTCCAAACCAAGGCACCTGGTGCAATGGGAGATAGGAAGGGGGCAAAAACCCCAACCTAAAATCCAAAAACCAAACAAAAAACCCCACCAAAACCAGCCATTCACTGAGAATCGAATCTTTAACTTACCTCCATGCTCACACAATCCTAGTTGAGTAAGCTGACTGGCTGGAAGGGGATCAGCAAAGAGGTGCAGTGGCACTCCAGAAGCAACCTTAATTGCAGTTTGCATAGGGCAATGGGTCAGGCAGCACGTCGGCATTTTTCCCATCGACAAACCTGATTCAGGGCTGTTTCTCTCATTAGTTAGGTTGCCTTCAGCTAAGGTGGTACCATTCAATCAAGGAACATAGCAGCTGGCAACACCACATCTCAACCTCCCTGCCATCATCCCAGTGATGCTAAATGATCCTGTATATATCATTTGCTCAGTCCTAAAGCCATTCTTTATACAGTGAGTGTGAAAAATGAGACCTCTCTCTGCAACAGGGACATGTAGCATGGGGTGTCTTACAGTCTTTCATGCAGTGTCCGCCACCCTCTGGATCTCCTTATTTAGCTGGTAATTCTGACACTTTTATTGCTGCTCAGCTTAACACATTTTATTTTTTTAGTGTAATTAAGAGCTGTATTTTGATCAGATCCCTGCTTAACTATGCCCATTTTGTTGCTGCTGGTTTTGAAATCTGAATGAAATCTGGTAAATTATGATTTTTCCACTTATTTTATGCAAAGACAGCATTTGTCCCCTGTGCTGTTAGCTGTAGTTAACATTCAATGAGTAGTGACATTTAATATAAGAATATAAAGTAGCCGGAGTACAATTCAAAGACATCACCAAAACAGGATCAGGCCAGTTTCAAAACTATGTTGATTAATTGAAAACCCCACATTTGTCTCACATCTTGCATAATAAAAAGAGCATGTTTCTGTCCTTAAAAAAATAACAGCAAAAGCTGCCACCATTTTATCCAGTACATCTGTTCAATATTTCTGAGACTTTTCCACTAACTTCTCTAATAAAAATATTTCCTACTGCTTTTGATTCCACTTTACCCTGCAGAGCCAACACTGCTGAGAGGGAGCTAGACCCCTTTTATGCGCCTTATCATCGGACTTAATTCACAGTTTCCCCACAGCGATACCACTTTCTTCACAGCAAGGATCGTTAGGCATTGGCACAGGCTGCCCAGGGAGGTGGTGGAGTCACCATCCCTGGAGGTGTTTAAGAAAAGACTGGACGTGGCACTTAGCGCCATGGTCTAGCTGACATGGTGGTATTGGGGCAAAGGTTGGACTCCATGATCCCAGAGGTCTCTTCCAACCAAATTGATTCTGTGATTCTGTAATCAGACAGGCCAAAACTATAGCTTGCTTAAATCATCTCGCTGTAACTTTTCTAAGTCTCAGAAACACATGCTATGTGGGCCATGCAAAGACCTCAGTAACTGAAATACAGCTGCATCTTTTGATGTCTATTTTTGCAGCCTTCTCTTATAGAATGCAATTGCTAAAAGAGCCCTCTATTATGTCCTAAAAGAGCCCTCTAATAGACATTCCAGACTCTGCTCTGCATTTTTGCAGTGTGAGGCTGAAGTAACGTTGGTTAGGTCAGTGATATGATTCCTGGCTTATGTTGGTAGAGTAGAGGAAAATTGTATTTCTGCCAACAAAGCTTCTACCCCTCTGTATGCAGGAGCAGTTTTGTTGCGAATACTGACTTTCCAAATAATAGAGAGAAAAATATTTTGGGGGTATCTGGCTCTTGCCAAATATGCCCCGACAAGGACAATAAGGACAGTGAAGCCAGAAACACTTAGGAGGATATCAGAAAGTGCACTGATAGGAAACACCTCCCATAGCATTAGAATACAATGAATAGTATTTCACACTTAGTATCCTCCCTATCGTGACTACGAGTTTTGGAAAGAACCCAGATAAAAGCAATACCTAGCTGGGAAAATCAGATCCTTCCAAAAAAACCTCAGTTTAAGCCTTGAACAGTGAGATTTAAATATGAATGGAACTAAGCAGTCTTGGGAGACTACATCATTGTTCCCAAGTACTGCAATGAAGCCTTGGTACGATTTACATTATTTGCTTCTGTCTAGTTCAAGAGTAAGATCCCTGTGCTTACTATTTGGAATTGGTTATCTAACAGAGGACTAGAAAGCATTATCAGCAAAAAGCAGATCCCTGTCATGCCTCAAATGTTTTGACTGCTTGCCACAGTCCAAGCGCATTCCCTTCCAGAGATGCTCAAACAAATCAGAAGTTTATTTTTATTAAAAATGCAACTCTACCATCTTTCCTCATGCTGAGAGTCCCTGATGACGAAAGGTCTTCGAACTGGGACCGAGATCTCCATTTCAACATCCATTGTGCCTATATTTGTCGAAGCACATTTTGCCTCAATTTCCTCCAGCTCCCACAGCCCCTCCCTGCCATTCCCAAGGACAGACACTCTTCTGCGAGTGGTCTCGCTCATCACACGCCCTCAGCGTAGGCAGATAACTGGAGCATTTGCTGATGATTTGATGTATTCCAATGTACCATTGATTTCTTACAGTGTTAAAGGCCTGCCAGTTGGCTTTGTTGCTGATCATGAAATAAAATGCTTAAGTGCATCACTTAACACTTACCTTAGAGTCACAGACACCTACGTATAAATAAATGTCTCTTTCTTTCTCCTCAAAACAGGAAGTAGATATTTATACAGTAAAGACCGAAGAATTGGCATTTACTTCTGCATTCTGCCTCCAAATTCAGCGTAATGATTACATTCATGCCTTGGTCACCTATTTTAATATCGAATTTACCAAGTGTCATAAGAAGATGGGATTTTCTACAGGTAATCTGTATTGCCTTTTAATTTCTTTTACTATCAGTGTACCAGTGCTATTGATCAGATGGTACAGGAAGGTTTACTGTACCACCAGGTTTGAATGACAGTGATAAAAATTATTGTCACTTTGGGGGAGGTGGGCAGGATGGGGAAGGGACAACTGCTTGTAGAAATTCTGCAAAAACAGAGACAGGATTTCACAATGGCTACCGAGCTTAGAGTTCAGTGGGAATTACGACCTAGGAGTTTATGCCCATCATCAGTTATACCTAAATCCTGTGTCAAGTTTCTTGGATTAGACAGAGAATTGTCAGCGCAGTGAAAGACAGCAGCTCTGCATCCTAGTTTTCCCCAAATCCGAAACTCAATAAAAGCTCTTGCTTGTCTCCGAGTCCAGAACAAAACCATCATTTTTTTCCAAGCTATAACCATACACATGCTGCTTACGTAAATCAGCTGTAACAACCCAAATGTGAAACCCTAACTTACCTTGGTGAGCGGATATTTAAAGGAATAACTCCATTCCTGTAAGGCATTGTTTACCAGAGTGAATAAACCAGCCAGTGTTGCAAGAAATGTAAAAACCTCATGACTGCTTTAATGACAACAAATTACAGTTGGTGCTGGTTGCAGTTAACACCATTACACAACTCAAACAGGTGTAAATGGGACCTGAGGTAAGTTAAATATGATTAGAAATCCTTTTTCCTCCTGTCACAGGAGCTCTCAACCCTTTACGTGAGATTCAAAGCTCAAAGTCCTTTGTCAAAATACTTATTTCTATTTGACTACGAGAAGTATCACCATACAGATGATATTATTTGGTACCTCGTATTATTACGCTTTTCAGTAACCATGTCACCCTGGTCATTCTATAAATGTGTTATACATTTTCCACACCATGCTAGGCATCGGTATGTGCTCGGAAACAAAGTGTAGCTAGGGAGATATCTGTGAGGCACTGCAGAGGTATCCTGAAGTGCTAATATTTCTGAGTTTGTGCTGAGCAAAATTATCTAAGGTGGAAAACACTTTAGGTTTTAAGCATTTGTTTTTTCCACAGAAGGCTGATTTTTTTTTAGCAGAAGGCAGCCCATTAATTTTTTCTAAAAAGTAATATAGTCAAACCTCCAGTTTTCTGTGAGAAATAGCTTTGAATGAAGGGTGTAGTTACTGTGTTGTGATGTTAACTGAAACCAACCTTAGTAAAGGAGGTCTACTTATATTGCCAGAACTGCATGAAAGGTCTTTTGTATCATTGAGAATGTGGCTTCATCTGCAAAGGAATAATGGAATATGTTTCTGGTTTATGTGTGCATATGAAGATGCATGTTTTAAGAAACATCTGTTGAATAGATTAGGGTATTTGATTAATGTTTTCCAGTGAAATGTGTCCCATCAGCAAATCTGGCCCTCAAACCCAACCATTCTTTGCTTGACTTTTAGACATCCCAGTGAATAGTCATCAAAAGCGGCAAGGAAAAGGACCCGTTACGTTATTGCAAGAGTTGCCGGTCTGCAGAATAGGCATAGACTTGTGCCAGTATCAGGATAGCAAAAGGAGGCTCAGATAAGGACTTTCTTGATTCTTCTTGCCTCTTGGATGTATGGAACAAAGAGGGCTCACTCAGGCACTTAGACAGAAAATGTTCTGCAAGAAACTCCACAGGTGGGCTTAGCTTCCCTTAGCACATAGGAGGTGAGAACTTGAGGAAGGAGAGAGGTTAAGTAGTATTAGGGAGAAGAGGCTACATTTGGACAAAAGCCTAGGGCAGGTATCAAGTTTGGCATAGTGTTTTTCTTGCAGAGAGGTTTTTGCAGACCCACTTCAACTTGCAAACGTATGTACAAGGTATTTTGCGCCTACCTGTCATAAAAAAGAGGGGAAAGGGGTCACAGTCTCCAGTATTTCTGAACCTCTATCAAGAACAGGGTTCATCAGCACTGCCTGAAGGCGTAGCTTCTCTAAACTATCTGTATCTTGCACAGGTTGCTACCTCAGAGGTTCTGAAGGCTTAGTCGTACACTCCCATTCGAGGATCCTTTCAGGTTTGGTGACTTGCCCTTTCTCATCATTCTTTCTGCAACTAGATCTCTTAACTGCTGGTGGTCCAGCCTCCTCGGAGACTTGCTTGGAGAGGCTTCCTCCGTCTTCAAATTCTGTCTCCTGTCACTTGGCAAATGTTACATTTCTCCTATTGAATGCTTTTCTTTGCTTTACTGACAATTCTCTGAACATCTTACTTCAGTAACTAATCTGTCCAGCAGGCTGTATGGCCCACCAAATAAAAAAGGTTGGATGTCATTGCATGGAAATGAGGAAGAGCTGCTAACCAGATACCCATGCAAAGGCAAATTCTTAAGATTTTCAAGTCCACGCTCAAGTTGTTTACGTGTTTTTGACAAGGGCTTCTAAAACCAAAGTTCACTCTGGCCACCTTTGATGCAAATGAGGCTACAGCCATATCACCCCTTATAGCAGATCTAGGGACCTTTCTGAAGCCTGGGGGAACCAACTGGTTGTGACTCCTTTGCACAGTACTCGGCCCAGGGTTCCCTCTGGGTCCCATGTGGTGCCCCTCCAATTGCAGTAGGAAGACAAGTACTATTTATGTGGAGAGGTTAATTGTTATTCAAAGTATCTAAAATAATGGGAGAGGTGCCTTGCAGCCATTGCAGAAGAGTTTTTTTATACCATGAAACTGACAGTACGTGAGTTGTGCCTCGAGGCATGCCGTCAGGACTACAGAACTGTAAACAAGTCCGTAGGACCAGACAGAAGGTCTGCTGGTCAATGACATTGTAAGGCTACCCTCCAGCATCTTTAAAAGGTCATGGTGATGGGGGAAGGTTCTTGATGATTAGAAAAAGGCAGCTATCACACCCATCTTCAAGAACTGCAGTAAGCAGGACCCGTGGACCTACCGGCCAGTCAACCTCACCTCAGTTCCCGGGAAGATCACAACACAAATCCACCTGGAAGCTATTTCCAGCTGTATGAAGGACAAGAACAGGATTGAGAACAGCTAGCATGGATTTACCAAAGCCAATTATACCTGACAAACCTGCTTGCCTTCTAGGTGACTAGCTGTATGGATGAGGGAAGATCAGCGGCCCTTGTATATCTTGACTTTAGCAAGGCCTTCTATACAACCTTGCACAGCATCCTTACAACTATATTGGTGAGATAGAGATTGATAAGCGAACAGTAACATGGGTGAAAAATTGGCTCAAAATGTGTCAATCAGAAAAGTCAAACCAGAGGCCAGTCATTAGTAGCATCCCACAGGTGACCAAGAGCGAGGTCAATATTGTTCCACATCTTTATTAACAACTTGGATGATGGAATAGAGTGCACCCTCGGCAAATCGGTTGATGATCCCAAATTGGGAGGAGCATAGGCTGGAGAGAAAGGGCTGCTATTTAGAGAGCCCTACACAGGTTCAAAATGGGCTGATGAGAACTCTACAAAGTTCAGCAAAGTCCTGCAGCTGGGACCAAACAACTCCATGCTATTGCTTGGGCCAACTGGATAGATAGCTTTGTTGGAAAAGGGTTGGATTCTGGTGAGCAACAAACTGAACATGAGTCAGAAGCATGCCTCTGCAGCAAATCTGGTCAATCATCCTGACCTGTATTAGCATGAGGGTAGACAGGAGGTTGAGGGAAATGGTTCTCTGCCTCTATTCAGCACATCATGGTAAGGTAGGTGTGGAACAAGTTACTCCATAAAAAGGTCATTCGGCATTCTGTAACTGGAGGAATAGATACCACTGTCTAGAAGACTGGTCTGGATTCTCAGCTAATGTCTGTTGGCAAAGCTCTACTGAATTCAGTAAAATATCCAAGTTTGTAGGACATGAAGAAGTGCCACTTCATTGATATGTCCCTTTTTTAATTATGAAGAAAATAAGTGTGTGAGTTGGAGTGCACTTGAAGACCTGTGCCTACATTCCACACACACCCTCTGTTCATGGAGCACAAGTTTCCAGATATGCCAGGCTCTTCTAAGGAAGATAGCTCTGCATAAGGGCATGTGCACATGTACACATGTACACATGTGTGTACAAGATAGCAGTTATGATTCAAAATATGAGTTCAGTTTAGTTTTGGTCTAACATGTTTTCAGTTAGAAATTTTACAGAGGCATGCCCAAATGGAAAACAGATTCTGCATCTGAACTCCTGCAGGAAGATCTCTCCATTTAGCAAAATTGAGATTGGCAGTCACTAAAACTAGACACATAGCCAGAAATTATCTGGCAAAATACTTTTCCTTTGGAAGATACCAGTTTGCCAGCACAGTTTCTGACAAAAGTTTGTTTATATCAGTCTTCTGATTCTAGAATTTTGGAAAAAAAGAACTTTTAAAAATTCCTGTCCTGACAGTTTTTTAAAAAAGCTTTCTCCAGTCACCAATAATTTCTAAAACCGAGTATTTTTTTTAAACATTGATGCTGAAATGAAAAGAGATAATTGTTTTATTAAACAGTGTTAAGATATTATTAGCATGATTCAATACAGTGGGCCCATGTCTGCATCAGAAAAGTGATTGGGGAAACAAATGCATGAAAAATAGATTTATCCGAGGCTTTTTTGCCAGGTCAGAAAGTCTCTAAATTTGTACAGCTATTCTTAGATTCCCAGATGCTCTTCACTGGAAGAATGCCAGGAACAAGAAGTAACCAATGCAAGTTCATTAGGCACTGCTCAAAGATCTGAATTTAAATCAGAAAAAAACAAAACAAAACAAAAAAAAAAAACAAACAAACCCAAAAAACCCAACAAATAAGTAAAATAAAACCCTGAAATAGCAGAAGGTCATCAAAGTGATTCTGCTAAGCGAGACTAGAAATTAATTTAGACCAGTATCTATCTCTGGCAAATTGCCCATAGCATCTGCCTTTGGAAAGTCCAAAACCAGGTCAAGGTAGAGGTGCCCCTTCCCCAGCTGTATCCTCCTGGAAACTATAAAAATCTGCTGTTCCAGGATCATGAGTCAAACGTTTCACCTGTGTCATTGTGATTAATAGTTTTTGATGAACCTTTCTTTCTTGGGTTTGTATAATTGTTTTTTCCACTAATTTAGACTTCTGACTTTCAAAGCACTTAGTGGTAAAGATTTCCTCAATTTGAATGTGTGTGGGTTGAAAGGAAAACATCAAGAAAGTGCCTGTCATGCCCAGTAACCCGCTTTGTGGAATCCTTCTTGCTGGCTGTGATTCACATCTGACATAGTCCAGTAAAAATCAGAAGACAACCCACTGACAGTCAATAGAATTGTGTTGTTGCAAAGCATGTTTGCTAATATAGTATGTAAGGTAAAGCATTCTGTGAGAAGAAAGGCTTTCTTCAATTGCTCCCAAGTCGTAATTTGATTTGTAAGACAAAGGTGAAATTTCTATAAATAATACCGATATATATTTTTTAGCACCTGATGCTCCCTATACTCACTGGAAGCAAACTGTCTTCTACTTAGAGGACTATTTAACTGTGAGACGAGGAGAAGAAATCTATGGGACTATATCCATGAAACCAAATGCAAAAAATGTGGTGAGTCAGCATCACGGATTCTAATTACAACTGTATCAATCACAAACTATAATCAACAGTAAATAAAATGCATATAAGTAAAACAATGAGCATGCTAAAAGCTCTAAATTCATGTTTATTAGACTAGAGCTCTTGCTGTAGTCACGGCTTCACCAAAGCTGGTGACAGCAATGAAAATGCAGTGCTAATGTTACAGAAGCTAGCCTGGAAACAAGCTAGCATGGGAAGGAAGAAATTATTCAAGTCCATCATCAGGTCAGCTGCCCTCTGCAATCAGCTTGGCTCCCATTTTGTGACCCAAATAGGCAAGGGTCTCTTCATACTGTCACTAAAATCAGTGGTGAGATCCCTTCTGCCAACACAGGACGATCAAGAGTAAGTACTTCAGTTCCACATCTATAGCCAGATTTCCCACTCAGTGCCCAAGAACTCTCCTTTAAGAAATCAGGTAACAGATTTCAGCTGAATGTCTGTATGAACGCACTGATCAAATGTACTTGAACTCACTAATCAAGTGATAGAGTTGTTTAAAAATTGTGGCTTTCCACAGAAAGTACAGATGTTTTATTTAAGATTAAAGCTAAAGCATGATGGATTTGACACTATCATAACTGGTGAAAACTTCCTCAATTTCTCTGCTATGGGCTGAATCCCTCCCCAAGTCTGTCAGTTACTCAGTGCTTCTTTTTAACTTGTAAGGAGACTGTGAGACGTAGTGGGATGGACAACCCATGCTTGTGTAGAAGAGCAAGACACAAGAAGTATGGCTTCTGGGAGAAACAGTGGCACTATTGTCTGCCAAAAACCTTGAGCGGAATCTCTTTGTTTTCTATTACAACGTACAGTCGTTAAAATAACCTGGTTATAATCTGTCCATGCAGTTGTTGTAATTGTTGAAATAGTGCATTTGTTGACTGCAGCAAATCTTAACATTTCGTTCCCTTCCTTTTTTGCATTACTTTCCCTTTTTTGTAGCAAATACAGATTGGATATGGTTTTCAAAGCAGCGTTGATACAAGGGAAGAAATAAAGACAAAATAAACTTGGCATTAAAACAAACACATTCACTCCTGAAGCTACTGCTTGCTGTGAAAGTAGAGGAAAATAGTCTCTTTCCCACCTTTATGTTGTTCTTAGGGGACTGGAACATTTTCTTTTGGGTTGAATGTGTCCATTTTCTTTTGAGGGAAAAATGAAGAAAATATTTCAAATTTGTTTGCACAGCAGTAAGCACCTGAATGCAGATTTAGGTGCTAAAATTAATGTGTTCTTGATAGTTCTCATAAGACAGAGAAGCCACCCAAAAGGATTTGTTAGCGCTTTGCTCTTCTGAAACATGAAGCCTTTCAAAAGCTTGTAGAGAGACAGCTTCGTTTCGTAGGGCTATGTAGTGCCTCTTCCCGAAAAACATGTCATTATAAGATAAAGAATGATCGAGGGCTTTTCTACAATAAGTTTACTAGATCTATTGGGGAATAACTCCTAGTCTGAAAGCCCTTTACCCTAGATTAAGAGCATCTCAACAGGGGATACCCTTAAAAAATTATTATAGAATATGTATGATAGCACAGCATTTGAGAAGTTTCCGAGTTGTAACCGGGACAGTACAGGAGCCTGAAGAAGAATACACAAATATGCCCTAGACAGGGACTGTGTGGTGAATGCTATTACACATCCTTTATCCTGCTTTTTCAGTGTTAGCAATGTTTAAAACAAAAAAAGAAGTTAGAAACCACAATAGGTATCTCTTGAATCTGCAGGTCTTTTCAACTCCAGCAATGATAACTGAATTCATACACTAAACTTACAGTCTTACTTACACGTTGCATTTAAATCTTTTTACAGCGTGACCTGGATTTCACAGTAGACTTGGATTTTAAAGGACAGCTATGTGAAATGTCAGTATCTAATGACTACAAAATGCGCTAGCAAGAAACCTTGTAGAGAGATGAAAAGAAGAATTTTATCAAGTCCTGAACTGCTGAACTTCAAGCTAGGAACAACTGTTCACAAGATTATTAAATACTAGAATGTTTACTCTGATGGGGAGTGATAACCTGATCCTTCGTGCAGACAGTACAGGGGGCTGGGATCCCACTGTGAATGTACAGTATACAGAACTGTAGCTTTTGTCAAACATATAGAAAAAATAAGCAACAGTCTTGAGTGTTCTGGTTAACTTTAGGATGGCAGAAGATGCATCTACAAATTGTACTACTTACTGTGAATTTCTGGTTCTTCCAAGCTTTGCATGTTAAAGATGATTAGGGCAGTTTTCTCACTATGAAAGACCACTACAGCACATTACTGTGATAGTATTACTGGACTTATATTCAATATAAATGAATATATATATTGTACATGAGGAAAAAAATGTCATTTCGTAATAGGAATTTGTTTTGTGATTATTTAATTCTCATTATGCAGTTATGGAAAGATAATGATGTTACCTCTGGCACTACTCTAGGCAGTGATATATTCCGTTAACTGTCCAAAGTTATAGCTTTGGTAAATATTCCATGCAAAGTGTAGATAAGAGCTGGGCATTTACAGAAAGTTCAACAACCATCTTTTTGAATGTCCTCTGGAAAACGTGGGCCATTAGTTTTAAAATTCACCTTCACAACTGGATGTCCATCAGAGCTTTAAAAAACATTAATTTTTTTATCCTTGAAAATATTCTGTGGTGAGTTTTTATAGCTGGATTTTGCATGAGACCTTCTGAAATCAGACACCTAGTATTTAAATGTGATGAACGCAAAGTCTCTGAAATGGTGGGTAATTCATGTTTCTTGGCCATGCCATATTTCGGTTCTTTGCAAGACTCTTAATACAAAATAATTTTCAAAAAAATAGGAATTAGTGTTTCCTTTTGGTGATGTTTTAGATAAGTTTTAAATTGCAAATACTATTCTCAAGAGTGCAGTGATTTGCAGGAACAAGCTAATGGCTTTAAAAAAATGTCTATGGCTTCTGATATTACTAAGATGTCTGTAGCTTCCCCATCCCCTTACACCCCTTGTTTTTCTTACAATATCTCCTGCTTATAGTTAAAATATTAACTGCTTATAATTCTTCATACATATGTATCAGGTCTTTTTACTATATGAATGTTGACCATTTAATCACATGTAATTCGTCAAAAACTGCATCATTGGTCCTATCTACCCATTTTCCAGTCTGTCTGGCATTAGGCACTAAATCATGTTCCATCATGTATTGGATGAGATTGACTAGTTTTTTGCCTAAAAATATTTTTAATCACCTGCAAATAAAGCATACTTGAAGATGTATTTTGCCAGTATTTGTCAGCTTTTCTCCTTTAAGAAACCTGTTTCTATTGGTTTTCCCTTCACAAAAACTGTACAGTGCCTCCATTTTCTTATGGTCTGAGAATTACGGTCTAGGGATTGCATCACATGGTATCTATGTAGAATGAAATTAAACTGTAATTCAGCAGTAAAAGATAGTGTTTGCAGTGTAGTTCATCACTACTGCTTTAAAGCTTTTTCCTTTCGTTTTCTTGGAGTGAGGATGAACAACTTTCCTCATAAAATGACTAGGATTTTAATTGTCAGATATTGCTGTCATTTTCAAGGGATCAGTTCATAGCTAGATCAGCTACTCTTTCAGTAATGGCTTGGACCAGAAAAACCTCTAGAAGTCCCTTTCTACTAACACTTCTGTGGTTCTAGGACTTTAAGGTAAGGCATTCTAACAGATTTTTTTTCTCAGCCCCCGCCATTTATATGAAGATACTCAAACAATGTTTTCACCTTCTCCTTTGCCAGAAATCACTGAACTGACTACAACTGAAAGAAGAAAGACTCTTGCTTTGTTTGTCTTACACTTTGACAGCACTTCAAACCATCCACTTCTCTTGCCCACTGCATGGATCTTTAATATCTTTAATATTAAAATAATAATAAAGAAGGAAAAAAGCCCACCTTGTTTAAAAAAAGAAAAGACAAATCGCACCCACACACACAAAAAAAGAATTCACAAGGGTCTGCCTGCCTTTACTGAGAATGTGTCATTTTTGCCTGACAAGAAGCAGCAAAGAAAACTCGATCAGAACAGCTCATTAACCACTTTGAGAGGTATCTTAAGCACTGCCGAGTACCTGCCTTTCTGCCTCATCTTTCACCTAACGACAGCGAAACGTATGGCTCTCTTCAACAGCAGCCACCTTCCCTCCTTACTACAAGTGCCCATTCGCGGCAGTGTTGCAAGATTAAGTCTTCGCTGATGTTCATGGCACAGTTCTAGGGTGATGACCAGACTTCTGTCACATTCAACCCTGGGAAACTGGCTTGTGCTTTTCTTCACATCAAAAGCCCATCACATATTTCTCCATCACGTAAAGAACTGAGGGTGCCTACTGCAGGGCTGAGTATCTTCAAATCACAGTGATCAAAAAAGAAAATGTCGACTTCCAAGGCCATTATAGGTGTTACCTACCCCTAAGGTTTTGAAAGCACCCATGAGTTCAGCATACATAGGATCTGTTAGGTCAGCATTAGCTTAAACAGATACGGAAAGAGCTTGCAGGCCAGAGGCAAGCGGCTGATGGGGTTTCCTCAGCAATCTAGCAAGTCTGGGTAACCACCACAGAGCCCGAGCCTAATCTTCTCAAGGCTTGAATAGGAAGGTCTATCGTGGACTCCAGGGTTGAACCCAAGGCACTGCTTCAAAGTTTTGCATTAAAATAGTTATGACAAAATGACCATCGATGTCTGAAACACATATGTTTAAAGCCTTTCTTTCTCTTCCCACTGACAGGAAAAGAAGATCCTGAGCTGAGGACAGAGCATGAGAAAGAAACTGAAATACCATATTTACACAAAAGACTGTCCCTGATGAGTAACAAGCACAGCACTGGAGAAAAGAGAAAGCAGGTCGCTTCTGCCTTGACTCTAATCTTAAGGCAAAAGTATTAAAACTTTTATCAGGGATTGTCCTGTCACTTGAAACACAAAGGAGCAACGAAAAAAGCTAGATACTCAGCATGCCTCTAAAAGGCACGGTGTGCAATTCACACTTGCAGAGCGTGTAGGATTAAGGAGGCAGTCCCAAACGTTAAGACAACCACTCTGCGTTCCCAAGGTTCTCTACAGAACAGTATAGTATGACTCGATTCTTACATGCATGTCTTATTCCCAGCACCAACTGGCCCTTGCCGGATGTTATTAAAGTTTCAAAATTTTGGTTCGGTTTGGTTTTTGCAGGGCTTGTTCTGGGGACCTTCCTATGTGCAGAATTAGGGAGTTTTAGAGCCTTTTTATACCGTCTTAGACTTTTAATAGGGGTTGAAACAGTCCGGAATGCAGACAAGAATATTACCCGAGACAGCATTTTTTTACTATAGAGCTAGTTTGAAGAACCTTCTCAGAGATAATTTCTTACAGGATTTGTCTAAAATTTACTATTAATTTATGAATTAATTTACCACATACAGATTTGATTGTAAATAATCACGAGAAACTTCCTTCACTTAGAAGGTAATTTTATAATGAATACATGGTGTTCTATGTATATAATGAAGAATAAATCCCCGCTTTAAGATAATCAAACAGTCACTCTCCTTTACCTGCAAAATACATCCCACACATAGTACTTACATGAAAAATACATATATATGCTGTCATTTCAACATCTTTCCAAGAACATTGTAAGTGGCCTGATTCAGACGGATTGAACTCTGCGTAACAGAGGACAATCTGTCTGTGTTTTATAATCAGTAACTTCAAGCACTGTGCATACTGGTAGATGTAACATGTTCTCTGTGATCAGAATACACCACAAGCCATTAAAAAAAAAAAAAAAAAGGGTGTAAATAACACTTAAAGAAAGATTTACTTAAAAAAAGTATGTCCTAGTGTCACGGGTATAACAGACAAAACAACACGGTATTATAATTACTTTCAAATTATAAAGCCCCATGAGTGTTACGGGAAATTAGCTTTTAGAAGGCTGCTTTCGTTAATGAGGATGCTTTTATTCTGCAGGCAGGAGAGAGGGGTAGGGAAGGTGGTGGAGCAGGAAGGCACCAGAGTGACCGACGTCTTATTAGTGTGTCAGATCCCTTGTTCAGGTGGAGTCAGGGGCTCAGAACTCCTTTCTCAGCTGAATAAGAGTAGATTACTTCAGCTGCAAGCAATATATACGGAGAGGATGGGTGACGGGAAAAAAAGGTATTCAAAATGCAAGGGGGACAGCAACACAGAGTAGCGCTGGAGTTACTTTGCCATAGAACCTCAGAGAATCTTAGAATAATTTGTAATGGAAAAGACTTCTGGAAGTCTTTAGTCTAACCGCCTGCTGAGAGCAGGGCTAACTTCAGAGCTAACTGATGTCTCTCGGGGCCTTGTCCAGACAAGTCCTGACCATTTCCAAGAACAGAGATTCCCCAGCCTGTCTGAGCAGCTGTTGCAGTGCAGTGCTCGTCCCACAAGGAAGCATTTTATGTTTAACTGGAATTTCTCTTGTTAGAACTTGGGACCGTTGGCTCTTGTTCTTTTACTATTTGTCCCTGAGAAGAGCCTAGCTCTATTTTCACTGTGAATCCCCATTAGATACTGGAAGATGCAATTAGTTCCCACCTTAGTCCCCTCATAGTAGCTCCTCTTTTCCCTATACAACCCTTGATTGCATCCTAGTCTTTCATATGAATTACAGCACCTATCCACCTGTAATACGTCTCCCTCACCCTTTTTTCCTTCTAACAGAGGCGAGGTATATATTACTGCTGTTACACACTGCTTAACAAATGTATCTAAGGGTTTTGCAAAGAATGTAACTCCAAGGGTCACTAATTAAAGAAAACTTCACGTTCTCCTACCATGTTGTGTTGGTGGCATGGAGGTGAAATTTATGCCACTGTGTGCACTTGCCTAGTTGGAACATACAACAAAGCCAAACGCTTTCTTTTTCAAAGGGCATTCAGCATTCACAGACTAGTTCCAACTGGAAAAGTGGGAGGATTTTAGTATTTTTTTGAAACATTTGTTCAATGTTTCTCAGAGATCATCTCAGATGTTAATCCCCAAAGCACACAGGCAGGTGGAAGGAAGACAGATCTTTTAGGTCATATCTAAACTTCCTAAAAATTAAGTGTGAATTTACAGTACTTATCTTTTTAAAAAGCAACTAAAGAAACAAACGTGATGCTTCAGATCCGATATAACAATATGTTTTCTAATAGCCTCATTGTAAAAGAAAAAAAAACACACATTAAATTTTTTTTTCATATATTGTTTTAGAGTAAAGAGGATGTGAATAATCAGCTAGAGATTCCCCAGCATATTGGCATTTCTGTACAGTATGTTGACTGGGGTGAGCCAGGGCAGTAGTATTCCTA